GATTATATAAAGATGCTCAATGCAAATATAAGGGACATGAGTAGAGTAGCGGATACATCCCACTGACAGCAACCAAGAGCTGTTTAAAACTGTGTCTCAAGTAGCCAGGGAACAGAAGATTAAAGAGTGGGAAAGACAATGGCTTGAATTCACTAGCTCTATTGGAAGAGAGACATCTGGGAGACAAGTGTGGGCAAAAATTCAAATAGCTAAGGGGGGGGGGGGGGCAGAACCCGGCCTGCGGCTCACAAAGACCCCCAGGGTAAGGGTGAGGAACTAATTCACAAGTGGAGTGATGCAGCATCCTCCTCCTCCCTCCCTCCCTCCCTCCCTGCAGAAATAAGCAGGGAACAGCTCCTGCGACATAATGACAGAATAATTAGGATAACAAGAGCATAGTCTAGTGTTGACGAGTATGGGGGAACCAATCACAGTCCAGGAAGTAAGGTGGGGCTATGAAATAATGTAAAAGTACTGCACCTGGTGAAGATAGCGTCACTTACGACAAACTCAATAAACACTGTGTGAGGTGTCTGTGAATCCACTACTACACCTGTTTACCAAATCTTTCCCAAGTGGAGTGTTGCCCGCGCAATAGAAACACGCAATAATTGTTCGCATACTGAAGCCCAATAACCCTGGCAATTGCAGACCTATCAGTCTTATGTCATGGACATGGAAGATGCTTGAAAGGATCATCTTAAACCAACTGTTGCACAAAATACGCAGGCTAGAGGAGGGCGTCAACGGATTTGTTAAAGGACGGAGCACAGCAAATTGTATAGTTAATTACCTGGCTAATGCCACGGGTAAATACTGTATTTGTTGACATCAAAGGAGCCTTCGACAAAGCACAAGGGATTGCGATCCTGGACGAGCTTGCATGCATGGGTGTTAAGGAGAGACTCATGAAATGGATTGAAGACTGCCTCACAGGAAGGAAAGCCAAGGTCTGCTTCAACGAAACAATCTCGAGAAAAATGAGTATCGAACTCGGGATCCCCCAAGGAGGAGTCTTAAGTCCCACACTATTCAATGTACTTATGAACGCCATTGCAAATATTGATTTTCCGGAAGGAACACAACAAGTGGGATATGCAGATGATGTCCTAATACAAGCCCCAACCTTGAGAAAAATTAAACTGTCCATTGAACTCCTTGGAAGGAAATGTGTTGAGCTCGGTTTCACTCTCTCCACAAACAAGACAAAAGTATACTCTCATCACAAGCGGGGAGAAAATGAAGACCTACAAATTAATGGTGCAACATTTAAATGTATTGACCGCTATCGGTACCTTGGCGACACTGTCGGCTCTAACAAGGGAAAGAAAGAGTTCAACCAACTCATTGGAATATGCAGAAGTCGACTCAGGGCACTGAGAGCTATGACGTGGAATGGGCATGGGGACTCTATTTCCGTGCTTAAAATATTGTACACAGCCTATGTGCTTATTGTCATAGACTATGCCACACCAGTTTTGTGCACCTACTCCCAAAGCAAGATGAAAAAAACTTGAAAGCATATAAAACGAAGCCATCACAATCATTCTTGGTGTCCCAAGAACTGACAAAACATCTCATCTATAAGAGGAGTTGTCCCTCCTCAGTGTTAAGAGCAGAATTAAGGAACTGAATGCTAAGTATGCAATTAAAATAGCAAAAGATCCCCTTTTACAATGATATTGCCAAAACAAAAAACTGAATTCTGTGTTACTTACAGGGGGAAACAGGAGAAGCAAAAAATAGCATCACAGATCAGTCTGCTACATGGAAGAACTTCACCTGCTTGAGCGAGCCTATGAGCTCCTGCCTGTAGAGAGGTTATCTCCCTGGGAGGATGACCCATGCAGGATTATCTTCAATGTGTTGTCAACGAAAAAGTCCAACATGATAACTCAAGAAAGGAGGCACAATTATCTTAAATCTATAAAGAAGCCAGAAATTAATTAGATAAAATCTACAGACATGGGTCATCTAACCCTGTCAATGGCAGGGCTGGTGCAGCATACACTGTAATTAGGAACCATGCCTTTCAACATGGAAATATAGGAAAAGCACGTATTGAGAACTATGCCTCTTCAATGCAAGCAGAGCTAACTACCATTGTTATGGCTTTAATATTGCTTGAATGAAAGACTCTTCTACAAATTAAAGGTACCATCAGGCAATATCACCGCGACAAGGTAACTGAGGAAAGGAGGATAGAAGCACAAATCAGTGAATCTGTACGATGGTACAACATGGTTGCAGCTGGCAATCCAAATCATTATGGCCGAAGAGGAGGTGGCTGCGGGAGAGAATCAGTAATACCAAGAATCCGTCTTGGATACAAATATCCATGGAGATTCGGAATGGAAACAACAGTTGAGCAGAAGAGTTGCAGAATCTGTGGTGAGAGTGATGGACATCTCCTTGAGCACTATCTGAGAGAATGTGAACATCTAAGAGTCATTAGGAATATGTGTAGAATAATAAACCCCATATTGTTTGTGTTAGGAAAATATTTTTGTCAAATATAGTCACTGTTCTTAAAAGATTCCCCCATTTTGCACCCGCAAGATAAAGTAAGTACGTAAGGGTTGACAAATGTTAATTTTCTTGTTTGATAAGCTGTTCACATGAGACAGTTCAGCAAGTCCCTGCTATGTCTGAGTACAAGTGACAGGATGAACAACCCAGCGGGTTTTCTTTCTATTGGGGTGGGGGTGTTGTACATGGTGCTATGGCGGTATGTCCACTCACAGAACGAGTGGCGCTGCCCAATAAACCCGCCCCTCGGAGTAAAATTAAAAGTTAACCATTGTAATCATTGCTATCATATTATATCATGGCTGTTATATTGAACTCATATTTTACTGCATTATACCTTTAAATAATCCACAAATTATGCTACAATGTACCAGTTGATAACCCTCAAATTTTACTTTAATGTACCTACTAATTTTTGTGAAATTTTCTTACAATGTACGTGTAAACATTTTTTAAATTATGCTAGAAACTACCTACTTAAAATTATCTGTTAGATTAAGGACCTGCCCGAAACGCTGAGCGTGTTAGTGGCTTTACAAGAAAGTAAAAACACCAATGCTATGTACTTTCATAACCCCATTATACCTCCTTCTACATAAATAAATAAATAAATAAATAAATAAATACAATAAATAAAATTGGATACCATAGTGGAGAAGTTTAAGTATGAGCTAGTTATGGTTTACAGTATCTTATATTTTAGGCCTGTGTGCCAAACCCAGTCAAAGGCTTTCGAAACATCTCTAATCACTATATTACACTGATCTTTTTCGACATTGCGTTGGCTGTATGCTTAAAGCTAGTGGTTTTATCATGACTTTGTAACCTTTCATACAGAAGAGGGCAGCAGCACATTGCTGTGTATACCCAAGCTTGTTAATAATAGGGTCCCGGTAGTACAGCCGGGGTCGTTCTCGTCGCACAATCGAGAATTCCGGGCGGGACAGAAATGGTTGTGCACTTTTCCTGTCACCTAATGCCTAGCAGTGCGTAGGTAGCAGTGAGTAGGTACTCAGGAGTTAGTGAGCGTGTTGTGGGGCAGCATCCTGGGCGGGGTCAGTAATTCGGCCGTGGAAGGGGTGGGGTGGCTTCAATATAAGCCTAACGTGTATGAACACACTCCGGCTTCCTTTCCCGGACACAATGAATTATTATTAAAGTAGTTTTATATTAAGTAATGTCTATGATTGACTGTTTCACTTGTAACGTAAATGTCACTGTAAAATTTATTACCTTTTATTATTATTATTATTATTAATATTATTATTTTAACTAAGAAACTTGAGCATACAGGTGTGAACGGTTACCTATTATACAGGGTGGCCCAAAAGTAATTTTGAAGTAATAATCAAATGATTTGATGTTCCCCCCTCACTAAAATTTAAGAAAAACAGTTAAAAAACGAAATGAAAAACAATGAAAAAAATATATACTCACGAAATGAAGGGTAGAAAAATTGAGCTGTGTAAACAACACAGCTCAATTCCAACACAATGTCACACAAAATAATTAAACCAAAATGAAAATAAATCGAAACCTATGAAAATTCAATTTGTCAGTGCAATCGGAAACATTGAAATGGAATCGTAACATATTTAGTATAGCGTGTGTTGCTCTTACCTGCAACGGCTTTTCACAAAAAGGTTGTTTTTACCTATCACAGGTGTGGCATCAATATAGTAGGTATATAAAACACGCGCCTATTTGATTGCAACGTTGTGTCAAAATTTCAAAGCAACCGGTTAAGAGGTTTCGAAGATTTCTCTCACATGAAAAACAGTTTTTCAAAGAAAGCATGTTTTTTCCCATCACAGATGTGACATCTATATTGTATGCATATAAATTCCCGCTCGGATGCGAATGGAAGGTTGTGTGAAAATTTCAAAGCAATCGATGAAGAACTTTCGGAGAATAGCGATTTTGAACAAACGAACATTTACATTTTTATTTACATAGATGAGCTGAACCGGGACTTGCCCAAAGCGTTATGTGTGTTAGTGGATTTGGGACACTGCAACATCAACCAAACTAATATATACTGTCACAGCTCAGTGTACCGTTTTGTGTATAAGAAAATAAGTACATAAATGTACATATAACTAAATTACTTCCTGGTGGCAACTCATCCGCCAGGAATACCAACATTAATTTATACCGAAACATTTAACAAAATATTAATCATTAATTTGGTACTCAATAGTCTAGAAACAACAGCTGAATTTTGCCATTATTGGTTTACTCTAAAATGCAATTTTTTGAACCATGAAATATCTCCAGGCTTTATTTATTACTTATAATTGTCAACAGTTTATTTGTCATACGTTTATTAATTCAATATTTAGTAAGTATAAACCACTGGTTTAAGCGCCAGACGTTGATTGTGTGGGTTGAAGGCGGCGTCAGCGTGGAGCACCTCACGTGTTCAGGCGCATAGTTGGCAACAGGTGGCGGCGGCGGCGGTGCGACGATCACAGTGACCAGCCAGTCAGTGCGCCTCGAGCAGCATCACCGTGTGGCTGCGTCACTCTCAGTGCGCCTCCAGCAGCATCACCGTGTGGGTGCGTCACTCTCAGTGCGCCTCGAGCAGCATCACCGTGTGGCTGCGTCACTCTCAGTGCGCCTCCAGCAGCATCACCGTGTGGGTGCGTCACTCTCAGTGCGCCTCGAGCAGCATCACCGTGTGGCTGTGTCACTCAGTGCTTTTACGACCGAATTTTTGTCCTGCACTCAAAACTCTCAGTTCACATCTCAAGTAAGTTATTCTTTTATTACAGTTCACTTAGTATCAAGTCAACTCTCATATCAGGAAAGGTTGAGGGCCACCTTACACTGAGGGTAAGCCACCCGGCTAATTTACTTTAGTTCATTTATTATGCACCCGATACCCATCTTGTGGGAGGTAGTGGAAAGGGTTTAGAGGCAAGGCCGTCTTAACAGCATTATGGGCCCCTGGGCACCCCCAGTGTGCTGGGGCCCCTGGGCACCCCTAGGGTGCTGGGGCCCCTGGGCACCCCAGTGTGCCGGAGCCCCTTAGCATCCCAGTGTCCTGGGGCCCCTGGGCACCCCAGTGTGCCGGGGCCCCTTAGCACCCCAGTGTCCTGGGGCCGTAGGCACCCCAGTGTGCCGGGGCCCCTGAGCATCCCAGTGTGCTGGGGCCCCTGGGCACCTTAGTGTGCTGGGGCCTCTGGGAACCCCAGTGTGCTGGGGCCCCTGAGCACCCCAGTGTGCTGGGACCCCTGGGCACCCCAGTGTGCTGGGGCCCCTGGGCACCCCAGTGTGCTGGGGCCTCTGGGAACCCCAGTGTGCTGGGGCCCCTGAGCACCCCAGTGTACTGGGACCCCTGGGCACCCCAGTGTGCTGGGGCCCCTGGGCACCCCAGTGTGCTGGGGCCTCTGGGAACCCCAGTGTGCTGGGGCCCCTGAGCACCCCAGTGTGCTGGGACCCCTGGGCACCCCAGTGTGCCGGAGCCCCTTAGCATCCCAGTGTCCTGGGGCCCCTGGGCACCCCAGTGTGCTGGGGCCCTAGGCACCCCGGTGTGCCGGGGCCCCTGAGCACCCCAGTGTGCTGGGGCCCCTGGCCACCCCAGTTTTTTTTCTACCACAGACGTGGCCACACATTTACAATGCTAACCAGAATATATACATTTTATTATGTCCTCCATGGACAGGGTTAGAGATGTGTTAAACATATAGTTCAAGGGTTTATTGAACACTCAACCACAGAAGGTGATTCGGTGCTTTTAAAATGTTAAGCTAACCTACATACGTAAATACATAAATACACAAATTTACGTATGCCCTACATAAAGTGTTCGATGTGTCTTTTACATAGTGTCATTAATGTGCATTTACAAAGGTAAAATGTAATTCTGATCAGCTTCCATATATACTTTATACACATACATATACATACACACACACACATATACGTACATATACATATATACATTCATATATTCACACACACACATGCATTCACATACGTTTGTCTCTTTTACTCTGACAGGGTGATATAGCTGATAGAGAAGCTAGTGTGCAATTAAGCACTTAATCACTGAAGGTGATTAAGGTGCTTTTACAAGCTCAGGTTATATAGTTACATCACATACATACATTGTATAATTGATACATTACATGGTTAATCTTGGGTACAAGTCCAATATATCATCAAGTGTTCCAGTACTTATATAGTAATTACACAGTTCAGCATACCTTAGCCCAGGAGGGCGAAAGTCAGTCAATATGGGACATTCTACAATATAATGTTCAAGAGAGTGTATGTTTTCTCTTTCACAAAGTTGACACATTGTGTACTCGACATTTGGGTTTTGAGAAAGCTGCCAGATACGTCTATATCCCAGGCGTATTCTGGCCACTATAACATCACATTGCCGGGTTCTTGTTCTATTAGTCCCATATGTGAATGTCTCCTCACGATATCTATCATAATATTTAATGCTACAACTTTCAGGTCTTTGTGAATTTGTTAGGTCGGTGAGATCTTCATTAGATATTTGTTTAAGTATTCTCTTTGTCACTGCTAATGAAACACCCATATAAATTTCTACCACTGGTTTTCTACAGGCTGTCTTTGCAAGCATATCAACAGTGTCATGCCTTGAGATGCCAACATGGGATGGTATCCATAGGAATTTAATTTCAAATCTGTTTTCTTTAGCAGCTAAAACATTCATTCGTATATCACTGACTATTTTCTGGGTGTCACTACTATGTGCGTTCAATGCCAGGAGTGCACTCTGCGAGTCACAGTATATAAGTCCACTGCCTTTGTCTTTTAAAAATTCAGTGGTAAGGTATATGCCTGCAAGTTCGGTTTGAGTTGTACTTGCCCAGTCATTGACGCGCTTCATTGCTGTATGTACGAGAGAAGATTGTTCAAATATGTTACATGCTCATCCGGTACATCGTCCACCTTCTTCTACAGAGCCGTCGGTATAGCACTGATAAACATTGTTACCCATACTCTGAGTACTTTCAGTGATGCTTTTCAGTGATAACTGTTTTAATAATGTAGTGTGCACACTATCTTTCTTGGGCGCATTTACAAAGTCAACTGATTGATCCCAGTTATCCCATGGAGTAATTGGTTGATTAATCATTAATTGAGTTGGGCACCCCAGTGTGCTGGGGCCCCTGGGCACCCCAGTGTGCTGGGGCCCCTGGGCACCCCAGTGTGCTGGGGCCCCTGGGCACCCCAGTGTGCTGGGGCCCCTGGGCACCCCAGTGTGCTGGGGCCTCTGGGCACCCCAGTGTGCTGGGGCCCCTGGGCACCCCAGTGTGCTGGGGCCCCTGGGCACCTCAGTGTGCTGGGGCCCTTGGGCACCCCAGTGTGCTGGGGCCCCTGGGCACCCCAGTGTGCTGGGGCCCCTGGGCACCCCAGTGTGCTGGGGCCCCTGGGCACCTCAGTGTGCTGGGGCCCCTGGGCACCCCAGTGTGCTGGGGCCCCTGGGCACCCCAGTGTGCTGGGGCCCCTGGGCACCTCAGTGTGCTGGGGCCCCTGGGCACCCCAGTGTGCTGGGGCCCCTGGGCACCCCAGTGTGCTGGGGCCCCTGGGCACCCCAGTGTGCTGGGGCCCCTGGGCACCTCAGTGTGCTGGGGCCCCTGGGCACCCCAGTGTGCTGGGGCCCCTGGGCACCCCAGTGTGCTGGGGCCCCTGGGCACCCCAGTGTGCTAAGGCCCCTGGGCACCCCAGTGTGCTGGGCCCCTGGGCACCCCAGTGTGCTGGGGCCCCTGGGCACCTCAGTGTGCTGGGGCCCCTGGGAGTAGTAGGGAGTACAGTCCAGCGTCCTCATTTTTTTTCGGGAAAAGAGGACGGTGGACTGTAGAGGGTTCCAGGTAAACCCTACGGTCAATTTCTTTTTTTCAAAATCAGTCAATTTCTGAGTTAAAGACTGAAATTTTTCAAATACCATTTTCAGACAAAGTGTTCACAGAAGTTTGTTAAGAGTTCTTATGGGAGAAATTCCAATTTTTCAGAGTTCTTACCAAGAATAAACGTCATCAACCGTTATTTTAGGCCGTATATTTTTAAGTAGAATTCTTACTTAGAAACGAGTATGTCTATATAACTAAAACTGTTGCATTATCCTGCTACATAAGACATCATTAATTACCAGGCCGGCCCCTTCCCCACCCCCCCGCGTCACCTGTTCTGACCTCACACCCCCGCGTCATCTGTTCCGACCCTACCAGACACCGCCGCCAAGTCACCACCGTAATCTTATCATAGTGTCGCCGTAATATCTGGACCATCCCTCCCTCCTCTCTACCTGTTACCTGACCCCCTCTCCTTCTTCATTATCTTGATATTGTTTCGTTCATAATTCCTTGCAACTATTTTAGACATCGTAATGTTAGTTCCTTTACATTAAACGAGTCAGTTTTACATAAATCAACTGAGTCAGTAAGCAAGTTCTATCTCCTGTCCCAGCCTTAGTCCCTTGTCGTATATTGAATACTAACAGTCCAATCCCCCTGAAATTTTAAACAGTCTTTTTTCAGAAGTAGTAAATCATATCAATTCACCAAGCAAGCTCCAGCTCCTGTCCTCCGCCTTAGTTCCCTCTCGTATCTTCTTTAGTACATAAACAATATCCCTAAAACTTAAACCCGCTGTATTTCATACACAGTACAATACAAAAATTTAGTTACCGAGCTCCAGCTCTTGTCCTCCACCTTAGTTCATTTGTACAAGTTCTTTAGTAACTGACCAATTTTCCCGAAATTTAAAGCAAACATACTTCAAACGTAGTAACTAATATTAAAATAGTTAACTAGCTCCAGCTCTCGTCCCCTACCTTAGTTCTCTCTCGTATCTTCGTAAATAACCAATAAATTTTCCTGAAATTTAAAATATCCGTATTTCAGACACAGTCAATAAAACCAGTGCAGTTACAGAGTTTAAACTCTCGTTCCCTGGTTTGCTCATTTGTACATGTTCTTTATTATCAGACCAAATCCCCTGAGATTTAAGATCACTATATTTCTAACATAGTAAAATGTTTATCAGGACGTTAACCGAGCTCCAATTACTGTCCTCCGATTTTAGTTCATCAAATTAATTCAGATTAAAAAATAGTCAAATGTAACTTCGTTCCACACTTTCGTAACTAACAGTATATATCGTAGAATACAAAAATAGTCAAATGTAACTAAAATTTCGCCTCGTTAGCAAAAAAAAATAGTCAAGGACACTTAAAGTTACTCTTCAATACATCAAGGACACACCCAAAGACACACTCAAAACGTCAAAATACTACTCATGCCCACAAAAGTTAATCTCAGAGCTATCAAAAAGTTAATCTCAGTCCTCAAAAGTTAATCTCCAAGTCACCAAAGTTAATCTCAGTCCTCAAAAGTTAATCTCCAAGTCACCAAAGTTAATCACGGTCATCAAAGTTATTCTGAAAGATATCTTTATTCGTCAAAGGTATTCCCAGAGTCATCAAAAGTTATTCTCAGAGTCATCAAAGGTATTCTCAGAGTCATCAAAGATATTCTCAGAGTCCTCAAAGGTATTCTCAGAGTCATCAAAGGTAATCTCTAACTCACTTTCGTTCATTAAAGTTATTCTCTAAGCCATCAAAAGTTGTTCTATAAGACATCAAAGTCATTCTCAGAGTCAACAAAAGTTGTTCTCTAAGACATCAAAGTTATTCTTAGATTCATCAAAAGGTATTCCCATATCCTCAAAAGTTAATCTCTAAGTCATCAAAGTTAATCTCGGTCATCA